TTCTTAAATTAGCTTCAGAGGTAAAATTCAACTTTTTCATCCTTCTTTTTTGTCTATGTTGTCAAATTCAACTAAGTACTCTTAGCCCCAGGCTTTTAAAAGAAGGATTGGAACCCTATTTATTGGGTTCCCTGAACAAAGCAGGAAGTGGCCTAAAGCTCCTGCCCTTTATTCTTCCACAGGATGGGCTCCCTTGAAATTGATGGATGCATATAATTTACTGGAAAAGATAACACCAAAGCATTAACAGTGGTTATCTACAGGTTTAGGGTAAATTATTTTTTCTTTGTCCTATCTGTATTTCTAAAACTTTCTAAATTGAAGATGCTTAATTAATTCTAAGCAACAGAAACTGATTCTGGCTGTTCTAAGCAGGTAGGTGATAATGAATTTGGGATGACAGGTATGAGGACCACTGAATTGGGGTCTCACAGTAGGAAAGAGATACAAGGTTTCTCTCTTAACAGAGCATGGGCAAGTAGCAATTTATAGCCAAGGAGCAGATAGAGGTCAGTGGATGGAAAATTACTAAGAGGAAGCATCAGGAGGGAGGAGGATTCTTGTTAAAGACAAATCAGGGTTGATCAGGTGATCAGACCTCATCTAAGAGGTCTGATAAAGATCCTGATCAGATATCATGGCAAGGTGAGGGATGAGGGTGATACCACTGATTACCATGATGAGTCCTTGCTTCCCTGAATGCTGAAGTATAACACCAAAGAAGCAGGCCGAGGCAAGTGTGGAGTAGAAATTGAAAGGCTGTATTAAAGGATAGCAGAAAAGACCGCCACCCCCACCCCTGCAGGAAGAAGGGCACCGAAAGGCAGTCCCTGGGAAGGGGAGTTCTTCTCCCTTTTATATTTAAGGTCTTCTTTTGTTCTTCTACATTTTTGTCCTTTATTTTGCTAATCTCCCTCTACCCTGCATGTGGTGGGGGATGCAGGTGGGAAGGCCAAATGTGGAAGACAGGTGGGCTGATGGGGCAGGGAGGAATGATCTGGGCAGGAAGGGCCTAGGGTGATTTGATTAGCATCTCCCTGTCTTGCTGGGAGCTGTTTCATCAACAGTTCTTTGGGACAGCCTGGCCTTGGAAACATAACTTTTCAGTCTCCCAGGTGTTGTTCTGGTTTCCTGGGCTCAGATCCACTCTGTTTTCTTTATTAGACTCGATATTAGGCCTGATTTACCTAACTACACTACCTACCTATCCTTAAACCTGGCTTCAAAGGTGATTGCCAAACCGACTTGACAGGGTACTTTGCTAAAACTGGATGTTACAAAAAAGTACACAGATGGGCCTAGAAGATTTCCTTAGCCACTCAAGCCAAGTTTGGCCAACTGAAGAATGGGTAAGCACATAGGAAACCTAAAAGGGTGGGACACAGGTAGAGGAAAAAGAGCAGGAAGAAGATATCAGGGAAAGGTGTCTACTTTAGAAATTTATTTGAAACATTTGTGGACCAAGAAAAAGCTAAGACTTGTAATCCCTGCAGTTCGGGAGGCTGAGGCAGGAAGATGGCAGGTTCAAAGCCAGCCTCTCAGCAAAAGCAAGACGCTAACCAACTCAGTGAGACTCTGTCTATAGATAAAATATTAAAAAGGGCTGAAGGTGTGGCTCAGAGGTTGAGTGCCCCTGAATTCAATCCCTGGTATCTAATAATAATAATAATAATAATGCAAGAAAAAAATGAGTTTTTCCTCATGGACCTAAAAGGATACAAAATATAGACTCCTCCTCCTCTGGTTCAATTATCTCATAGGATATAAATTACTCCAAATTGAAAAACAGCATTCTGACTATCAAGTCCAATGGAAATACTTTAGAAGATGTGCTAGGTGGGATGTGCCAAGCAGATGTGCCAAGGGAGGGCACTCTTCAGTTTGAGAAGCATCCCAAGTGATGGGCTGGACCCACAGGGGAAGCACTGTGCTCTTCCAAAGGGATGCTGTTGCCTCAGGCATGTGTGATCATTATTACCAGCCAGTTCAGAGTCAAACTAAGGTCAGCTCCAGAAAAGGAAACATGTTTAAGAACCTGTTTTCTGGGATCCAAAGCTGCAGCTTGCTTTTCCTACCCTTTTAGTATTTACAATCCCCTTTTCTCCTTCATATTAAGAAAAGTAAATGAGCCACCATAAACTCCTTTTGAGGTAGAGCAAAAATCATAAATATGCACATTGACATTTCCTTGGGAAACTAGAATATAAATTAAAGGCACTAGCTCTTTACTCTGGTTAGACATCAAATCACAATTAAATCTTCCTCAAATTCTCTGTTGTCCTGGTAACTGCTCTCTACTTAGAAGGGTGAGATTGCCCAAAAGGGCCTGGAAGGAGAGCAAGAGCTTATTAAGGAATTCTTTCTGATGCTCATAACCACACAAGCCCTGCCAGAGTGGCAGCATGGAGTTGGAGAAAAGCCCTCCTTCAGGTTATCCCAATTGCTGTGATATACTTGGGGCCCTGCTGCGGTTAAATGGCTACGTACATTATAATAACAAGATTGGCTATGGTATACCACAAATATTGACAATAAATAGTATTTTGGATAATCAGATTATAAATCCTCTTAAACACATTTGACTCTAACAGATATATTTAGACTTGCATGAACGGAGCTGGGGTTTTTTTTTTTTTTTTAAGTGTCAATTGGTGTGAATGAATAAAGATAGTTTTAAAGGAGCTACACTGCTTAGGGATTAAGGCCAACTGGAACAATTTACTTAAAAAAAAAAAAGCCTCCAAGCTTAAGAGAATGGCTCGAATTTATTTGATTGTGGCAGATAAACTTTAATCATTAGGTCTTGTACCGGTAGTCCTGACATAGTTCATCTCTCCATTTGTCCAAAGAAGAATGACTTTTAATTGTGCATAAATAAGATCTTGCAACTCATTGTATTGAGACAATGTTTGCAGCAACAACAAAGAGGGGGAAAATTTAAGTAGCAGTCATTTTTATTTTCGTTTAACAGATTTTTAGCAAGAAGACTCTGAATATGAATCGGCTTCATTTTTAAATCCTGAAGAAAATTTCTAAGCAGCCCATAAGGTGCCACTTCAGTCAGAAGCAATTAAAAAAAGCCTAGAATAGCAAGAAAGAAAATCACAAAATTTGTTTGGACATTGTAGGGAAAAGTTACAAATTACACTAACTCCATTCCCACACCCTACTCAGTCTACTTGCCATTATTCTCTCACATTAAACTTTTCCTAGTTTTGGGGGTGGGAATGGGGCAGGACATGGTATAGGTAGTGAAAAAAAGTTTATATTAAGATATTGCTAGTCATGTTGTAGCTCCAACATGCAAAGTATTTCAAGCCCATCAAAGGATGGAGTGGACATTCTCCCCATAGGCCAGGGGTTCTTCTCAGGGTCAGACCCCTGAGGCATCACTACAAAATGTGAACTCAGCTTCTCCTCTCTGGGTAGGAAAGGAGAAGGCATTTCTCCAGAGAAGATGCTCTCACACTTAGATTTTTTTGACAATATATAGCAACCTGAGGATCCTGGAAACAACCTGAAATTTGGTTTCTCAAAGTGCAATACCAACAGAGGAGATAGAGCTACTTCAATATTTTGCAGGTTCCTTTTTTAAAGTGGCCTCCATCCTATTCTCCAAGCCTCTAAGAAAGCTACTTAATGATGCATAAAACTAATTATTATAAAATAAGACTGAATCTGTATGGTAGCTGTTCACAATGTGGAAAATCACACTTTTTCATGGCCTATTTTCTTTTAAAATGTGTGGCCTTTTCCCATCCTTAATGTGTTCTGTATATGTAAAATAAATACTCTTCGCAGCAGGACCCTGGCTCAGAGGCCTTAAAACCTAATAAAAGAGTCCTGTAGCTTAATGGTCCTTAAATGCTCAACATCTTTTTCACTTAATGTAAAATCCATCTGATCTAATAGCTGTGACTGAATTATAGATATATAATTTTTTTCTATTAAATGTTAATCTTCTGAGTTGGCAGAGCAATAGAAGCTCTAAATTATTAAGAAGGCAATAACCTCTCTAAACTCTTTACAGAATTCAGAATATTCCCAGGACTGCTATCAAGGGGAAAAAATTGCAAACCTGCTTAAAATATAAAATAAAAATCAGGCCTATTAAGTTCAACAATTTGATGGCAGATAACAATTATAAGGGGCATTGTTTTTATTGATGTCTCCCATTATTTCACTGAGAACATACACACACACACATATATATATATATATATACATACACACATGTGACAGTAAACCTCACAAGTCCTGGCTCTTTTTCATTTACATATGACATTTTTGTTACCTTCCCCTTTTGGTTTAATTCATTCATCCCAATGTTTGTTCATGCAGGCATAAATAATGAAAATGCCCTCTAACAGAACAGTGATGCCACATGCCCAATTATGCTAAACACCAGCACTCCCACTGCCCAGGGAGTCTTGTTGGAATGTCATCTCTGCTGCAGCTTGATTTAAAAAAAAAAAAAATCTGTACAATCATAACTCACTCGAGCCAAAGGTCAATACAGGTAGTAAGACCAGAAACCATGCTAAAAAGCAGGTTAATATGTACCTAGAGACACTGATCTGCAAGGTTGTCTCAAAACATGAAAAAGAGTTGAATTTCCAACCACGAAGTATCAAATCCAGCTTAGCTGGGGACATCACTGAATGAAATGGGAGTTGAAATGACTATTCTATATTCCATTTTCTATTTAGTGTACAATCTATTTTTTTGGTGCAAACTCTGTCTTATTCATCTGTTGCCTGCCCCCCCCCCAAGTTAACTTATGATATTTAGGGGGCTGAAGTAAGATCTAGATTCTTTTCTTCTCTGCCAACCATATGCTGCTGTATTTTACATGTTCATCACAGACAATTCCTCTCCAAGCCAGATCTTGCAGTAAAAGTACTGCCATTCCATTACTTTGGTGAACATACATAAAGAAAAAAATCACCACAAGGTTGCAGAATTCTGGATGAGGAAAGTAAGGAGGCAATAAGTAGTAGTTTTTTTTTTTTTTTTCACCAGGTGAAGCAAAAGTCAAGAGAAGCTCACAACTGTTGAGTCAAATTTGGCATACATGTAAGTGGGTACTGATACAGCATCATGAACCCCAAAAGTTAATTTGAAACTCTTCCCTTTCCGACTTTGAAAAAAGCAAGCTGAAGAACAGGAGCCATTCAGGCAGGTAAGGTTCTTGTTAGAGAAAAGCTGGCAACACTTGGGGGAAAATGCTTTTGTTCTAAAGCCACAAGATTTTTAAAGCAGCAATGAGCCAATGCATTTAGAAAAACAAAAATAAATAAACTGTATAAAATTTGGTTAGGGTCAAGAGAAAAGGTTTCAAATAAAAAGCAAGCCATAAGAAAGACTGTTAGCTTTTTGTTGCTATGGGAAAATGTCTGACATAACCAACTTTAAAAATAGGAAATGTTTATTTGGGCTCATAGTTTCAGTCTATGGTTGCTTGGTCCTGTTGCTTTCTGGCCTGTGGTGAGGTAGCATACCATAGCAGAAGCAGGGCCGCAGAGGAAACTGCTTACCTGATAGTAGTCAGAAAGCATAGAGGAGGGAGAAGGGAAAAGGGAGAGAGACCAGAATCCCAGTCTCTCTTTCCAGGGCATGCTCCAGTGATCTAACTTCCTTCCAGTAGCCACCCCCTCCCCCAAGAGTCCCATCACTTCCCAATAGCACCATATGCTGGTAGCCAAGCCTTTAGCACATGGGCCTTTATGGAACATTTAAGATTCAAACCATAACAGACTAAGCTAAATTTTGGAACAATGCAGGTATAGCTAGTGATTAAGTCACTATAATTTAAAGTGTTTATTGCATGAATATTTGATTTTAATCATAACACTGACCCTCAGTCAAAGGGAATTAGCTTTTCTGATGAAGCAGGACTGATAAGAGCGATAAGAGAAACTAAGGATTAAAGGATAAAAGACTGCACTGCAGCAGTAATTCAGTCATTATCCCAGAGGGCACCTGCAACATTGTAGACAATAATTCTCTGAATGTGGCCCTAAATTCAGTTCTCACAGTCTTTCTGAACACTGAATGGCAGAGAGATTAGCACTATCCATTATCTATGTCCTACTTGTTTACTAAATAAAAGGCTTTAGTTATCAGTGTTATAAATGCAATCTCTGCCTTTCATATCAAAAGGTGAGACAACAGGATTAGCTTAAAAGGATTCTAGACAGCTAACTGAAAATGATTACCATTCTGAATTTTGACCTCATTTTCTACTCCAAATATTCAAAGATTGGAAATGAACTAGTTCCAAATTTTTATAAGGAGTGGGTTCAAAACAATACTCTACAGAAAATATTTTATTGATGGTTGAAGACAAAATGCACATAAAGTTCCCTTCCCGCCCTATTAAGAAAAATACAACACTGAATTCAAGTATTCAGTCTAGAACTTTGCTCCACTGTTGAGCTTCAATGGTGACCTAAAAGTTACTAAACAGAACTCAGGATAAAAGACATCAATGTATATAATTAAAGAAATCAGATATTGCTTATGTAAATTATGTGTTTACCTAGAGAATTAAAAATAAATCCAATTCTGATTTTTCACCATTGTTTCTATACTGAAGAAATACAGTGGCTTATTCTTTGGTTTGAGAAGCTACTCTGATGGTCCTTTTTCCCCATTATGTAGAGATGGGATAAACATATCTGGTTCAGGATAGTGAAAGACTTTGCTAAGGCACATTTTGCAATTAAAGAAAAGCCAAAATGATCACTTTGTTCAGCTATTTGCTAAATTTTTGGTCTGAATGGTAAATAAAATATTAATAAAAATAATATATAAACTTTTCCTTAATGAGATGTAATCAATAAAAATGGTTATATCATTTACTAAAAACATGTCCTATTTCATTATTTACTGTGTTATTGCACTTTTGTCTAACTTAAAATGTCTTTGAAAATCAATTCTCTAATACTAATTTTGTATTTCACATTATTAATGTCATTAATATAATTTTCCTATAAGTATGAAACATCTCGAGGATGCATGTATAATGAGTGCTTTATATGATACAGCAGCAAATGTCAAAGTAACTGCTCAAAAAAAGTCTATAAATTTTTTGACACTTTAAAATCTAGCATATCATTTTTCTCCAAATACTGTGGTAACAAAAGGCACCACAGGTTAAAAAAAAAATTAAGACATCATTGTAAAGATTATGTAGGAACTTTATTATAAATTCCTGAAATATTTTACCCCTGTGTTTAATCTAAATGTAACTTAGCACTACAAAACATTTATGAAAAGAAATTTACTTTAAAAGGCATAAAAATTATTAGCATAAGAAAAATACTGTACCTCCAAAAGAAGTTAGTCTCTCATTAAGTTATCTCAATAAAGATAGAACTTGGCCAGCCAAGTTACTATACATGCCTTAAAATTACATGAGGCTCAGGATCAACTAAAAGATCTTTTTGATACACTTAAAAGTAGTCACCAAACAAATTAATTTCTCTTAAATAAATCTTTAAACAAATATTCCTGCCTAACCCCTCTTCATATGGAACCACTCAGATGGCTCACATTTTAAGTAGCTCAAAGATATGTAGTTAGTCCAAGGCAAAGTGTTATGTGGTTTGCAAACTGTAAAAACATATATAGAATACAAGATTTAACTTGATATTGAAAAACTCAGTAACATACTCATCTAATTAAAAAAAACCCTATTAACGGAACAAAATATATTTTATTTTAATTCCAGTAGCAGAGTCAGGCCCAGAAGAGTCAGAGTTGCACACAGAATGCTCAGCACCAGGAGGAGAAGTCAGACTGGGGCTGCTCAGTGCTAATGCTAGCACACAAGCCCCTGGCGCATCTGAATGATCTGTAGTAAGGCCGCCTGAACATCTTCATCCATGTGACCCTGAGAGAAAGAAACGTTTCATGTCATCATTGTTTACATAGATATCGAAAGTCAAAGCCTTTATCTCAGGGCCCAAGAGGTTGTGACTGACCACATGCTAAACCTCACCATGCTAAACCATGCTAACCCTCACCACTGTGATAGGCCACAGGAAATAATGGAAAAGAAAGAACAGCTCTATTGTGAAAATTTTTAAAAAGTCAATAAGTAGTATGCACTAGTTGATTTTAACATCTATTACAGAAAACAAATGGACAAGCTTCTCACTCTTTTTTAATAATGGCTTTAAATGGTTGGGTAGCTTAAGGTTCAAATGAACAAAGTCAACTACATATTTGTGTTATTGTTGTTGTTGTTGCTGCTGCTGCTGCCACTCCTGAGGATTTTTTTCCTTTTTAAATTTTCTAAATAATTGAGGGGAAATAATACTCACATTATAGTTTTCATATGAAATGTGATCAGAAAATAAATATCACTTTACAGCTTGCTTTTTTACTTAGTGTAATAGACATCTTTCACTAGAGCTACTTAGTTAATATTTGTATAATTTCTCTTTGTATTAAATTTCTTTACCTATTCCCCTAAAGATGAAAATACTTTAAATGTATTTCCAACCTTTACAGACAAATATCGAAAGAAATTTCTGGGTTGAAGAGCTGATTCATATTTTAATTTTGTGAAGTACTACAAAAGTTCCCTCTTATGGAGATTATAACAATTTATACTTCCATCCATACAGGATATAAATGCCTATTTCCCTCACATTATGGCCAACACTATGGGTTGTCATCTTTTAATATGTACCAATCCCACAGATTAAAAAAAAAAAACAATGCCCTTTGTTCATTTGTATCTCCCCTGTTACTGAGTAGGTTGACCATCATTGTACATGCAAAGTGACCTTTTTTGGGGGGTCAGGGGGAGAGTGCAGGTGGGAAGTACTGGGGATTGAACCTAGGAGTGCTATACCACTGAGCTACATCCTCAATCCTTTTTGAGACAGGATCTTTCTGGGTTATTCTGGAAGCTGGTCCAGAACTTGAGATCCTCCTGCTTTAGCCTCCCAAGTAGCTGGAATTACAGGTGTATGCCTGATGTGATTTGTATTTTAAAAGAAACACTTTATCCAGGTGTGCTAGTACATGCCTGTAATTGCAGCTATTAGAAGCTGAGGCAGAATGATCAAATAACACACTTTGTCTCAAAAAATAAAGAGGGAGAAAAAAAAGCTGAGATTGTAATAAAGTGATAGAGAACCCGGGGTTCAATTCCAGTACTAAAGAAAAGAAAAGGAAAAAGAAGAAAGAAAGAAAAGGAAGAGAAAGAATCAGGAAGAGAAGGAGGGAGGGGAGGAGAGATTTTAAAAAGTAGAAAGAGACTTCATTAAATGAGTCAATATGGTGGGTTTTCAACAATCTTCTACTTCTTTTTTTCTTTTTTCATTGTTGAAATACTTGAATAGGTTTCAGCACAACACTTCTATTAATATAAAGTTTTGCTTCTGAAATCTGTTTTTATAACAGCAGGATGCTTAAATTTAAAACATTAGCCACAGTTGACTAAACTGAATTCTTAGTTAACTTTATGATGCCAGAAGGCAAGACTATTTCAAATGCCAATTGCTTTTGTTATGTTTCATTAGGACTCAGTAGAAAATAATCTCAAATTTCAGAAATGTAGGTTATATTAAGTGGAAAGGCTTGTTAGTTTGTTGCATCTTTCAGTGAGAGCAAGCTCCTCCTCCTTTGGCCAAAACCAGTGTGCTTCACATCCTCTCTAACACAGATTTTCTATGCTCTTCTACCATTCCCCTCTAAACTTCCCATTCAGGTGTCCACATACAGTTTTTCTAATAACTACAATAAACTTTGAAATCTCAGGTTATCCTCCATCTACTCAAAAGATGGCAGTACGGATGCCTTTTTTTATTAGACCGTTCATTCTTTTTCAGCGGCTCCCCTTCCACCTACAGAAACAGTAGGACTTTTGATTTTAGGAATTTGATATTATAAAGGACTTCTCTTTTTATTATTTTATCTAGTTCTCTTTTTAAAAGTGGTCTTCATTTGAAATTTCCTCTCAACACTCATTCCCCCCACCTTTTAAAAAATTTTAACAGTGTGCCCTAACACCCTTCAAATCCAAATAATTCCTAGTATCTCACTTGTCACTCTAACATTTGTCTCTTGTAGTACACACATCTTCCTGAGAAATCTATTCTGAGAATTTTAGAGATGCTGCTCGTGCAGTTTTGGAGATGCTGCTCATACAGAGCATTAAGAATATATTTTAATATGCTAAGTATTTCCTTAATATGATCTAAAAAGAAACAGTGTTCTCAATATAACCCTAAAGAAGAAAATTTGTAAGCTTATGCTTCAATAAATTTAAGGCTCAATAAATATGATAATCTCTTAATAGACCAAGTTTTCTTTACTTATCACTATTCTACGAATGCCCTCTTTGTCCTCTTCATACTTCTCTAGTATTTTCTACATTTCAAAGAAATACTCCTAAGCTACCAAGAAACATATGAAGCCCTTTCCACTCTCCTCTTTCAGCTGACAGCCACGTGTGGATGTCAAGGCTTTATCTCCAGCTAGCAACACTATTAATGTGCTCTGCCATCATATGTTGCCAAACTGTCTAAAAAATGAGTGACAAGCAGATGGAGACAACACTAAATTTAAGTTGTTGTGTTGCCATATAGCTTTGTAAATTTTTCTGGGAGATATGCAAGCCATGATTAAAAGAAACACAATTATTTTTAAATAAGCATATGGGACACAGCTACTTTAAACATCAATTACTTTTACATGAATTTACTTGAAAATAAAAGCTAATTTTCTCTCAAACAATACCCTTTCTAACAAAGCAATAGTTCTTCACCTGTGCAGCACTAAGGAGGTGTGTCCGATAAATTGCGATTACTTCTTGGTGCTGTCTGTCGGCATCCTAGAAATATGGAAAGATGGGACATATCAGAATATCAGTATTTACATTTCCAAACATGTGGAGGCTTGTGACAATGCTCTCCTCCGGCCTGATGCTACAAAATAGCAACCTATCAAAGGACTTCTGCTACTCTTCTTAGAACAAACCACCTGGGACCTACCAGACACTGAATTCCACAACGTGAAAGAAGATAAACTTCTCTAATGAATGTGCGAGAATACTCTCATGAAAGCAATACCACTTATCCTAGGTAACATGAATTTACTGTCTTGGTTTACATATACTACATGAACTTGTCAGACACTTATCAACTTGTGCTTTGGATTATTGGCAAAATTCTCATTTTATCTCCCTGTCACCAACCTGGGTTCCCTACCATGCTTCCAAGACTGAGGTAGCTCTTACCTCACCTCCTTTTAGTTCAAACACTCCGAGTGGCAGTTCTTTATGTATAAAATGACTCATCAGCTTGGTTCCTAAAGTCCTCCACAATTTGGCTTCATATATTAGCTTCAAGATTCAGGCAAGGCATTTTTTTGTTTGTCTGTTTTTTCAATTGCGCTGGGCCATGCCATCTTACACTCCTTCTTCATGGCTCTTCACCCTATTTCCTTTTCCTAGAAGACCCTCTATTTTCCTTATGCCTACCAAACACCATCTATTTTCTAAGTTCAGGCCAAATACTCTCTTCTTGAAGCAGGCTCCCACTCCACCAGTAATTATTCCTTCCTGGGAAACAAGGATGCTTTGAATGTGTCCCCCGAAATTTCTGTGTTAGAAACTTAATTCTTAATGCAACAGTGTGAAGAGTGGGGAATTCTCAGAGGTGATTAGATCATGAGGACTCTACCCTCATTCATGGACTAATGTCACTATCACAGAGTTGGATTACTAGAGTGGGGTCCTGATGAAGAATGAGTTTCACCCACACATGGTGCCTTCTGCCCCGCTTTTACACAACAAGAAGGCCCTCATCTGCAGCAACCTCTTGACCTTGGACTTCCCAACTTCCAAAACCACAGACCATTACTGTTCATTAAACATTATCCGGTCTGTTATTTAGAGTTATAGCAACACAAATAGATGAAGACAGAACCCTGTCCTTCAGAATCTGGTATTACATTCCTAATTCTGGATCTGACATTTCTCATTTAGAGGTTGGAAGACCCCACTGCTTCAGGCCCTATTGTGAGGCATACACATTATAGTAGGGCATGCACGAGGGAACAAACTCTTTACCTCATAGCAGGACAGAGAGGAAGGGACAGGGTGGGGGTCCCAGTATCCCCTTCAAGGACACACTCCTGATAACTGGAAGACCTCCCACTAGGCCTCATCTATTAAAGTCTTCACCATCTCCCAAAAGCATGGAGCTGGGGACTGTCTTTAACACATGCACCTCTGGGGGACATTTCAGATCTAAATTATGAGCAATAACTTCTTTCTATTCAAAACCAATTCATAACCAAATCCTACAGAATAGAAAAACATTGCCAACAATTTGCATTTGACTAGGTCATGCTTTACTTTGCATTCAATGTGTACTAGCTCAATTAAAAATGTGAACAAGCTGGATGCAATGAGGCAGGAGAATCACAAGTTCAAAGCCAGCCTCAGCAACTGAGCAAAGCCTCAGACAACTTAGTGAGACCCTGTCTCAAAAAAAAAAAAAATTAAAAATGGGCTTCTCATCCTATTTTATGGATGTGGAAGCCAAAGATTAAAGGGAATGTTCCATGCCACTCACTTTTGAGTTGCAGGACTAACACCAGAGCTCCCATCTTTAAGGACTTCTAAATCCAGATACCTTCTTTAAAGTTATAAAGCATAAAAGCATAGGAATTCCTATTTTTGTTCGGAAGGATAGAAGATAATGAAAATCTCCCTTAGGTTAGTAGACCAATATTTTAGAGCACACACTGCATGAGAAATGCTAGATTGGAAACTGGTCATCCCAAGTTTAAATTCCAGCTCTATGATCCCAAACATGAAGTATTTTAATCTTTGTTTTCTTAAGAATCAAACAGTGGGAATAAAATCTGTTTGAAGAATACTTATAAAGACAAACTTTATATTTAAAATAAGTAAAGTATTTAAGATAGTGCCTGGCATATATTAGGCACTAAATAAATGATATTATTATGCCCCCAACAGAGGTAATTTGGGGCAAAAATGATTACATTCTTAGATGTGAACACAGCTACAAATCCATTTGCTCTCCAGAAAAGCCTTACACACAAACTAAGACAGACAGCTGCCAGCCAAGGCCTGTATGTCTGGTACTCACAGCCAGCTGCTGCTGCAGGGCCTTCACTTGGTGCTGAAGAGTGTCAATCAGCTGGCTCTGCCTCTTGGTGGGGCTGCCACTTGTGTATGTGAGTTGGGAAAGGCCATTGAGCGCCTGTTTTAGTCTTTCTACATCATTAAGCAATTCAGTTATCTTTTGAAAAAGAGAAAAAAGTCATGGTAGAAACGCATATCATTTACTTATTCTTTATAACAAACATCTTTGTACAGAAATCAATCCTTGAAACATTTATTCTTTTTTTGCCAGAAAAATGAGGTAGAAATATTGCAAAGATCATTATCAACAATATATACAACATATTATTTGCATTTCTTTGATTTAATTCCTCTCAGTAAATTTCTTAGGAAAGTATCAAATTAAAGAATATAACACATCCTAAGATTAAGAATGAACTTTGTCTTGATTTCAAATAATAAAAAAGGATCTATGAGGGTACAGAAACTATCTTCCAGGCAATGTTTAAAATAGAAAGAGAGGCTCTCCATCTGACAAAGTGTAAAAAGTAAAAGAACACAGCTCATGTATTTCTAAAATTAACTTGTGTACCCTGTTCTTTACGGAAGTTGTATTATTAAGACTACTTTGTGTAAAGAAAGAAAGAAAAAATAGGGAGGCTCTTTAGAGAAGTGGAAAGAGCACAGACTTTGAAGTCAGACTCGATGTGGAAAGTTTAGCTAATTTCCTTTATTTTTCTGAGCCTTAAAAGGTGAAAAACCTTTCATAGTCAAGAAAATCAATGAGGTCATAAATATATACCTAGTACATGCTCAATAAATGACAACATATACTATTAAACTATATGCTATCATATTCATAACCACCTTCCAAACAAAGTTAGAGAATTTACATTCTGAATTATATGGAAAGATGTGCCAGAATTTGTACTTATACCTCTCTAGTGAGGAGTGCTGGGTCTGAATCTGCTTTTACTCATCGATAGTTCCTAACAGCTGCCATATAAGACACTTAATAATGACTTGTTGATTAGATAAAACTGTAGTCAATCTTCATCTCATGTCCACAGCAGAAATTATATGACTACCAGTTTCAAAATATTGTTGAATACCTATTCTGTAAATTGTACCATGAGATTGAAAGAGAAAGAAAATTAAGTTATAAACCCTGCTCTTCAAAGCTGGTTGGAAAGATCAGTCACACAATTCTAATGCAGTAATACAAATGTTTTAAATGCATGGAAAAGCCAAAACAAAATATGCGTTCTAGAAGATGAACCCTTTACTGAAGCCTAGAGTGGACAGGATAGGCTTTAGGAAGGAGAATAAGGGGCTAAAGAATGTACAGTATTCAACTCAATAAGAAAGGAGGGGCACTACATACTGGCCCCACTGAATTCTGACTATTCCTCTAGGAAGCCAGTGAATCACAGTATTTTTTCAACTCTTGGATGTACTATCCAAGGAATATTAGGAAAAATGCTTTTGATTTTTGTGTTTTTTTTTTCAATTCAGGATCTTCTGCACATCAATAGTCATAACAAAAAGGGGGTACTTATTTAATAACTTTGTCAGCTTGTCTGTGGAATTCTATGGTAAAAAATCCCATTCTACTCTGGCCGTCCTGCTCTGGGGTTTTCAGTGAATAGCCACACAGACTATACTGTGCCTACCTTATTATCTTTTGCTTCAATTTGTTTAGCAGATTCTTGAATTCTTCTCTGTAACTCTGTGATTGTTGTTAAGGACTTATCACATCGTTCCTTCTGATCCTTGATTTCTTGCTCAATGCTGAAATGTACTAAATCCTTTTCATCTTTCTTCTTTTTGGCATGCAAAACCTCTTCACATACTTCATCATACTTTCTATTGAGATTGGCCAGTTTTTCATTTAAATTGGAAATCTGAGTCTCCAAATCACTTTTTGTTGCTTTATATTTAGACAAATCAACTACCTCTCTTGTCTCTAATTTCTTTAATGCTTGTTTAGTGTTCTGAACCTCGGTCTGGAGTTTAGAGACTTCTTCAGTTTTGTTTTGGCTTTCTTCTTCCTTTTTTCTCAAGCTAATTTTCATGATTCCAACCTCTTTCTCAAATGCTTCCTTAATCTGCAAATGCTCCACTAGGGGTACTGAAGAGTTCTTTTGATTCTCCAACAGCTGATGCAGTTTGGTCACCGTCTGTTGCTCTTTCTCAAAACACCTTTGCTTAGTCTTCAGTTCTTCCTTTAAATTCTCAATTGTGCCATTAAGAGACTTTTTCAGAGCCTCAACCTGTTCCAATGGAACATGCTGTTTTTGCAAAAGATTTTGTGCTGCAAGGATCTCCGAACCCTGTCTGGCATTTTCTTCCATGAGCTTCTCTTTCTCCTTCTTTACTTCAGTGTATTTCTGTGACAGGTCTTTTAACTCTTTGTTTAGCTCTTCTGTTTTTCTGCTTAATGCTCTTTCGGTTTCACGGGAATTCACCATTAGAGCACTCTTATCCTTTAACTCTTTCTGAAGGGCGAAAATCTCCTTCTTTAATTTGTCATTCTCTAGCTTGCTTTTCTTGGCCTCTTCTTCTCTGACAGTACACTTCTGTGTCTGCTCTAATAGCTGTTCTTTTAGTTCTTTCTCTGTCACTTTGAATTTTCGCTCACACTCTTCAAAGCTGATAATTGGGGCATATTTTAGCTTGATGCATTCTTGTATTGTATCAAGTTCCTTCTTCTGGGCTTTAATTTCAGCATGCAGTGTAACAATCTCTTCCTGGCCTTGGTTGTACTTGGTCAGGATCGCAGCATTAGCATCCTGCTCCTTCTTTAGGCTCTGGCTCATAACACGCATCTTTCCCTCATGTTCTTCCAGGCTGATGTACTCAGCTTTTATTTGATTCTGAGTGTTTTCCAGGTTTCTTTTTAAAATTTCATTCTCATCCTTTATTTTTATGAATTCTTGATTTATACCTTCAAAGCTTTTCTTCACATCAAATAATTCTCTGTTAGTTTTATCTAAAGAGTTATTCAAGGCAGTCTTAATCTCTTCGTGGGTTTTGGCTGGTACATACTGGCTACTCAGAGTCTTTTTCAAACTCGTGTTTTCAGACATGAGTGCATGAATTTTCTCTTGGTCTTCACCACATTTTTTATTAAGTTCAGATTGATGTTTTTTAAGTTCAACAATATTGGATTTCAGAGCCATTATCTCTTTTTCATGTTTCTCAGGAGGTATAAACACAGTTTCCAGGTGGCTAACATTCTTACTTAATCTGTCATTTTCCATCAGCAATTTCTCCGTCTCCAACTTCTTCTCTGTATATTTTTGTGTTACATCTGAAAGCTTTTTATTCAAATCATCAATATTTATTTCATGTGACTTTTTCATTTCTTCACTTACCTTTAAAGGAACATAATGATTTTTCATTTCAATTGTTAGATTATGTACTTGCTGGTTGAGGAGCTTCTTATCCAGAGAAACTTTTTCAACTTCCTTTTGTAGTGCCTGGTTTTTCAGTGTTAGCTCAGTGATCTTCTTTCCAAGCTCTCCTGACTTTTGTTCTAACCTGCTCTTGAGCTGCTCATGTTCCTCTGGTCTCACGTGTTGGGCGAACTTGGCCTTAATATTCTCAAGTTCTCTCTTCAGCTGTCTAATTTCGCTAAGTGATTTTTCATATTCTCTTTCCATCTCTGCCAGTTTTTTTGCTTTCTCACTCACTTCATTTGATAATAAGCTCTTCATGTTTTCAAATTTTTCTGTTGGAATGGAAAGGGCCACCTTTGCTAACAATTCTTTTAACTGGCATTCCATCTCCATGACCTTTCTTCCTTTCTTCTCTCGTTCCATTTCACACATACTAAATTCCTTCTGCAATCGCTTATTTTCTTCTATCAACCTACCTTCATCCCTCTTAAACTGTTCTACTAACATCTCATTTTGTTTGATTTGGTTTCTTAACTTTCCCACTTCTGCAGATGCGCCTTCATATTTTGCTTTCATGTCTTTCAGCTGATCCTTCAGTTCTTCCATTACTCTGTGATTCCCTGTGGCTGCTTCACTGGTTAGGTGCTCTTTAAGGGCAAGAAAATGGGTCTGCATTTGTTTCACTTTACCTTCTGACTCGTACATTCTCTTCTGCACATCTTTTAATGCATCTTCTAATTGCTTTATCTGTTCATCTGAGTCCTCCTTGACCCTTTCACATTCTAATGCTAAGGCTTTGCATTCTGCCACTTTGTGAGCCAGTTCATTTTGGAGCTTGAGTCGATCTTGCTTTGCTGAATCACAGAAGGTTCGCATTGCTTCTAACTCTTTCTTTAAAATTTCATTTTCAGAGTATGAGGTTTGACTGGGTAAAGATAGCTCCAGTGGTCTTAACATAGATCTGCTTTGCATATGAGCTGGCATACCTGGGGAAGTACACTGAAAAGGAAAACAAGGCATCAATCACAAAAGTCTAAAGAAGACAAAGACTTCTTATTTGCCAAACTGTAGAAAAGGTTGCACATCATCAGGAGTCAAAGGGTTTTTCAGAGTAAGTAGGTATGTTGAGGACTAAAAATCACATCACTGATTTATACGGCAAGAAAAGCAGTTTTGAATATGATTTTTTTTAACATACTCAAAATATTTTGGGAGTTCTGTATGCTTGAATCTATTTCTGGCAGAACAAGAAAGAAAAATAGCTGTGGTCTCTGGGCTCTATTTTCTCTTTCTTTCCCCATTCATAATTCCTACCTATAAAACAAAAATATCAATTTTATCAAAAAATATTTACCTCTATGTTTTATGATATATGATGTACTAAGAATTACATATTATTTAGCAGCTGCTGGGTTTTTTTTGGCTGGAGGGGGGTACTTGAGGGTTGAACCCAGAGGTACTTAACCACTGAACTGCATCTCCAGCCCTTTTTATGTATTTATTTTTTATTTTGAGACATGGTCTTGTTAAGTTGCTTAGGGCCTCATTAAGTTGATAAGGATAGCCTTAAACTCATCATCCTCCTATCTCAGTTTTCTGAGTTGATAGAATTAGAGGTATAAGCCACAGTGCTTGGCTTACATATTATTTAACTTCTAATAAGACATGTGACTTCTGAGTACCCTTACTGTTAACTCTGAAATAATGTTCTTTAAATTTTAAAAATACCACCAAAATAAACCCAGCTAGTATAAGAGCTGTCAAAAGAATGTCAACTCACAAAAAGGAATCAAGTTTTCTTAGGAAAATAAATTAGAATATAGCACATAATAGTCATATAAAATTTGAAGGGTACCTTGTTCCCTCTCTTAAGTGCTGACAAAAAGAGGAAGTATAATTAAACTTCTGAGTGAAATAGTTCAAATACCAGAACATGCAATCATGAAGGACTAAATTTAGCTATTTTTATTTTCTCAATATAGCCTATTACAATAAAGGCTCTTTACAAGTACTAATTCATTGATAAAAGCCACATGTCATGAGCACATCCTATTATTTTAATGGGCAGTTAAATGAAAACTGTCTTCTTCTGAAACAAGAGAAAGAAAATTGACAACATGGAATAATTTCCTAGCCTGGATCTGCTGCCAAATTATCCTTTAATTTATCAATTATCTTTAGACTTATAGCTATTTTAATTGCCCCCAAAATTACACACACAGCTTCACAACTTATATGCCTATTTTATTAAAATCACATACTTACCTAATCTTAAATACTGGTAAGTTGATAACCATTCCTTCCACTTAGATGCTTAGAATTTCCCACCTTAAAGAGGCCTTACACTTTACCTAGGTCTACTCACTCTGACTACACAAAAGAAGGTATATAAAAGCCTTTACAGTCCAAATATACATCAGTTCTACAGGCTATAGAAGGTGCTAGAAATACAAACCTTAAACGTACTAGAAAATAAGGACCTGAAGCAGATACATAAATAAGTAGTAAGAAAAAAAGCCAATACTCTAACTCTTGGAAGCTTGCTTTACTTAGAGGTGAATTTCCAAAACATAGACTGTATATTTAATTGAAAGGATACATTTCAAAGCCAAAACAATTTATTTCAAAATTACTCATATCTGTTTTCACCCTTCCATGGGAAAATGTGAAGCGTTAACTGCTAATAATAACAGAGGCTCATTAACAAAGACAATGAAACTGTAATTCAAATCTTGTTTAAGCCAATACTACCACAAACACTCTAGAGGACACCACAAACAGCAATCTCTGTTTTGATTAAACTCAAGAAAACAAGATCAACTTTGATAATGAAATCTTTACTTAATGCATGCAGATTTAATAAATATATACATAGGACTGTTTTTTCTTTTTTTAAAGATACAAATATTTTCTTAAAACTTTTTTTAAATAAAAGAAACAATATTACCTGTGAATCTGTCATATACATTTGACCTTGTTTAAGAAGCACATCTTCTTTTCCTAAATAAATCCAAATAAATGGCACCTTAAATATCTACACCAAAGTAGGCTAAATATTCATTTAGTATCACTCTCTCACTTATTATCCCATCAAAAGAAGCAGGAAGTACAACAAAATTATTCTTGTTCTAAAATATCTATTTTTCTTATTATTTCTACTAAATATAAAGGAATTATATAAGGTCTATAGTAAGCTGTTTTTTAGAAATATGAAAGATGGTTAAATAGGCTACATAATTAGTATAAAATATACAGTCAAAATAAAAATATGTTCTCTGAGATTCATAGGATATGTATTATCATTATACTGAGTGAAGAGTTTAATACTCACTAGGAAGAAAAAATAGATTTTTTAGAGAAAGTGTAAAACTGAAGAGTAAATGAAGTGAAGACTATGTACAGTCCTAAAATAATAAATAAGTAATTATTTATGAAACTTGTAATTACAAAATGCTTATCTGAATTGAGATTGATTTCTCCAAATCAAAAAACTGTGTTTGTTTTTATTTCCATGAAAAAGCCAACTATCACAAGAAAAATGTCTACTGATCAAAAAGGCAAATGTGGTAATTCATATAATGTACAATTTAAAACTACAGGTGGCAAAGGAAAACAGGGCCTCAGTGACTCTCAGAGTTTATGGTAGAGGTCATGGCATTCATCTGAACCTCTTCCTATTCTACTTACTGAAGTGTAACACACAGGTAGGTGTAAAAAATTTAAGAGCAGGAGTATTATGTACAATCAGACAAATAAATAGGTATAAATATTCTTTTTCGCTTGAACTGGGAGAACCATAATAACAAAGCCAATATTTTTATACTCACGGTTACTGAAATGACTTCCTGATCCTAAATGATCACTCTGAAATCAGAAGCATAAATTAAAACACTTTCTGAATGCTGCTTCATTTTCTTGAAAGTTCTAGTTTAGCTCTAAATGATCCAGTCATTAAAACCACATTTTTTACATTCCTTTTTTCTCCTGAGTATTATTCTATTTGATCCCACAAAAAGACACAGCACTAACAATTAGACAGATCAGCTGGGAATAAACAACTTCACTAAGCATTTAAAAGCAGCTAAGTGTTTCAAGGAAAAACTTTATTGCTCTATAGAAAAAAAAAAAGTGAGCCCCAAATAAACTGAAACAACTTTCAATATCTAGTGTTTGCCCCTGCTTTATCTCAAAAGGAAAGAAGTATCCCATTTGCATCCAGGACTCATTTTACTTTACCACTGTTGGGAGCAGAAACCCTACCTCAGTGACTATGAAATATTTGTGTAATCCCTTCCTTTGGAATTTATAGAATATTGATTACTTTTGAAAGCAAAAGGAGACAAAGAGCAGAAATGAAACTGTGGCAAAGACCTACACACAAAGGTAGTAATAAACCTGTCAATGTATCAGTTAGGAAAAGGAACACAATAAACACTTCAGATACTGTGAATTAAAATACCCTTGGTTTGCTCCTTTTCCCAAGTAAGGAAAATACAAAGAATCTAATATATAAACTAAAGTATCACACTTCAAGAATAAGTGTATGCAGATGAAGTTCTGGGAGTATTAGTAGCAAAAGCTACTCATCAAACTCTTACATTAAGTTACTATGATAAAAAGTCTAGAGTTTCATAGCTAAATTAATGCCACCTCCATTAAACCTTAATGCTCTAAATGTGTGAAAAATCTCTCTAAGCTTACTTAAGTTCTTCATTCCATGCAATATTTAATATCAGAGTTTGTAAAAACCTAAATAGGCTTGTATGTGGATATAAGGGATCGAGGTTATGCACACAAGGAGTTAAAAAAAACCTTAATTTGGTTTTGTTATCTTTATTTCTCAAATGAAAACAAATGCATGGATTATAAAATTATACTTAAAATATTCATATTTCCATGTATTTTTTCTATAAATGTAAGGGAAATACCTTCATATTTAGTATTACACATAACTCACAGTAATGCTATTGGTAGTTTAAGAAGTTTTTAAACATGTGAGATGATACAGTAATGGATATTTAAGTTGTTCCTTGGTGTCCATGAGGATTGGTTCCAGGACCCCACAGATGCCAAAATCTATAGATGCTCAAGTCTCTTATAGAAAATGGTACAGTATGTGCATTTGACTTCTATCCATATCTTCCATATAATTTAAATCATCTCTATATTACTTACAATACCTAACACAAGAAAAATGCTATGGAAATAGTTGTTATTTAGGAATATTAATTAATATTTCTAATATTAATTAGAAAATAGTATGTGTTCAGTAAAGATGCAATTTTAAAAATATTTTCAATAGGCAGTTTATTTAATCCATAGATGCAAAAATAATGAACATGAAAGCCTGATTTTATTGAAAGTTTTTATTTTATTTATTTTATTCTTAGATTTTAATGGCTGCTTTCATAAATACTGGGTCACATATAAATAGGTCCTGTAATTTTCTTCTTGAAAGTAAAAAAAAATCATTCCTAGCATGAAAATTAATCAAAATTAATATGTAACAACTAAGAAAACTAGCCCCATTGTATTGAAAGAAGGGTTACAAAATGGAATGTACAATATGACTCAAGCTGTTAAATGAGTATGTGAAAAACAAGATATTGGTCAGGTACTAAAAGCACAAAGATGATAGGTGTCTCTATTTTCTGCTTTTAGTTTGACTATATTTTCTAATTTAAAAATGCATATTGGTTTTGTGATAAGAAAAATAAGTTACTTTTCTACAGATTATTATGACCTTATTGAAAGTTACAAACCTGACAAACTAGAGTTTCTCTACAGAAAACAACTTATTCCTGAGACATGCAGAGTAGAAGAAAAGTAAGGTAAAAACAGTACCCAAATTACAGGTGCCAGACTTTGATGATTACTTCAAAGGCCCTGTTTATACACCTGTATTTTCTCATTCAAGCTATTCTAAGTGCAAAACTAGCATGTGAGTTAAGATACCTGGGTTCAAGTTTCGGCTCTGCTACTTCCTATTTGTGAAGTCCCTCACTGGGTAAAACCACTCTGCTCTTCAGCTTCCTCACTTATAAAGTGCAGATAATAAAACATATCACACAGGGTTGATGTGCTCATTAACGCACATACACTGCACAAAGCAGAATAGGATTTGTTCTATGAAAATGTTGACTATGACTAGATTTCACAACCTTAAAAAGAAGATTCTTCAAATACGACTAGATTTCATAACCTTTCAAATGTGGAAAGAAATCCCTACAGTTAGATTATTCTTATGTTTTAGCTTATAGAACTGTTTCTGAACACTCTCTAGAATGTAGCCATAAATAAAACACTTTTGTTCTATTTTTAAAAATGTATGAAGGCCTAACTCAGCTGCCTGAGTACACCAGCATTAAGTGCCCACTATAATAATTTCTGCCCACATATACTCTGTGTAATCACAACCCACGTCAAGATACAGAGTATGTACAGCAGCCCAGGAGCTTCTTCATGCACTACTCTGGCCTATAACCCCTTCACCAAAGGGTGGCCTCTATTAAATATCCAACAACACTGATCTGTTTATCTGCTTTTAGATTTCATAGAAACAGAACTGTGCAGTATGTACTCTTTGTGTCAGATTGCTTTCCTGCAACATTACATCTGTGAAAGTCATCCATGCTTTACATTCTTTTTTCATAGCTGCACACATATTTCTTTATTTACAAAGAAAACAATTTACTCTGCATGTCCCTCAAAATATGCTGAAACTTAACTTAGGTGGTACCAGAGGTGGAGCCTTTTGGAAAGTGATTAAGTCACAAGGGCTTTGCCTTCATGAATGAATTAGTGCCTTATAGAAGAGATACCAGGAACTAGCTTAGCCCTCTTTTTGCCCTTTCACCTTCTGCCAAAGGAGAACACAGTTTCATATACTTCCACCACATGAGGATGCAGCCAGGAGGCCCTCACCAGAAGCAAATGAGGGCACCTTGATCTGGGATTTTCCAGTCTTCATAAATGTGAGAAATAAACTTTTGTTCTTTATAAAGTACCCAGTCTTGGGCACTTTGTTAGAGCAGCACAAGTGAATTAAAACACACTTTTAAAGTATCGTGGAATTATATTTCCCAGTAAGAATAAGATTCATTCTCAATCAGCCACTTTTTTCAGCAATCCCTAATGATGAATGACATTATACAAAATATAATATGGCATTACAGTTAAAAGTTGAAGAGAGGTTCCCCTTAATGTAGCAAGAGCAAGGAATGACAAGAAGCAAGTGTGAGAGAGGCTTTAAGTGCTGATAACATTCTGTTTCTTGATCTGGATGTGTTTAAATTGAAAATTTATTAACTTGCACACTTTAAGTGTGTACTTTTAAAATGTCTATTTTATTTCAAAAAAAGTTAAAAATAGGACCTTGAAGAAACTAAAAACTAACTGATTCAACCAATGGTGAGTATGTGATGTCAGCTTTATTAATATACCATTCTCACCAAGATGTTCTAATTAGACCATATGCACACAGTTCTTCCTGAGACAACCCTGGTCATACTGCTTTTCATTTATATGATTCTTTATTAATCTTGCCACTATAATCACTGAAAATTTACAGGTAAAAACATGAAGTTTTGAAAAGGTACAAATAAACAACTAAGAAGGTTGGGGAAAAGAATCTGGACTGGAGCTAAGTGTCAACAGCATGCTAGTCAACTGTAATGACCTCACCTAACCGTTACAACTCTCTGAAGAAAGGCAAGATAGTCCTAATTTTTCCAAAGAGGCAAAAAACTCAGAGATTTTAAACAAAATCCTGAGGTCACACTATAACAAAGAGTTATAACCCAAATTCAAGTCTGATGCCAAGCCCCTTACTACTACTACCTACTATGAATTATAGGAAATGAATAAGTTTTCTATACCTCAAGATATTTAAATCTATTTTTCAGAGTCTCAATAGTTCTTAAGCTTTCTTCATGTTGCTTTTCTTTAGCTGCCAAGAGGGACTTCAGCTTTTCTCTCTGAAAAGCAAGGAATAAATACAGAGTAAAATCACCCTGTGCATGAAATAGGAATTCCTTTGAGAACTGGAGTTAATGAATTCTCTAACCTGGTGGAATTTATTAGTAGAATTAATAACATAAATATGCTAATAAATCATGCAATATATACAAATATAAAAAATTCAAATCTCTGTTATTTAAATCTTAGTATGTTCATCCTTTATAATGTTTAGAATTTTTCATCATGTCATGATAAGTTTCACAGAAAACAATATTCAAAACAATTTTAAGTCGCACATAGGTTTTTCTTTCCCTTTAAGCAATAACTAGAAATAGAATCTTGTTTTTCATTTCAATTTAGGACTTAAACCTTTACTACAATATTATCTTCAAATTTACAAAACACTTTATATGTTTAAAATAAAATTTAGCATCCTACCTCACTTTCCAGATCATCAGCAACCATTACTTCCTAAATTTAAGAAAAAGAAATGTATTTTAATTCTTGAAAGTTTATCTCAAAAGATAAGAGAGTGGCAAATATATTTTTAAAAGACTGGTAAATGCCTTTAAGATTGGAGACAAGGATGTGAGAAGAAAATGGTAAGTGCTACCATATCTGGTGTAGTTCATTCTTCTTACCGACTTCAGAAGCACTTTTTTGATTTAAGTCTAAAGAAACTTCCCAAGTCCTATCTGCTCTTCCTCCTCATATCTTCTGCCTACAGCTGCTTCTTCAATCCCCTGGCCTCTACTATAGTTCAATCTTTTGCTATTATCATACACCTAAATTATTGATAATGGCCTTTTTTGGTATGAGCTTCCTTATTGTAAAATGTCACATACACACAAATATAAGTCCATTTTCAATACTTTAAGTATTATTTAGAGGACAATAAAATAATCATCTGTACCACTATCTTTCTATATTTATAGTAAAGGAATGTATATCTTCTATAATTCTAAAGTTCAGGATTAATTTTATATGCTAAATCAAAATTGCTAATTTATTTTTCTGTTAAAAGCTACTATGTCATGAGTTGTCCTATGGGAAGTTCTCATAGCAAGGAATGAGGACCCTTTAACAAGCATCACGTCAGTCAGCTTCAGAGCAGATCCTTTAGCCCTTCAGATACTGCAGCTTGGTTGACTGCCTGACTTCAACCTGAGGAACCTGGAGCCAGAACCAACCCTGCTCTTAAAGCTTCTAAGTTTGAGGGTAACACATTACACATGAATAAACACCTAATATACCTTGTGTATATGAAATTATCTTTATTTTATCCTCTTGTTTGATTGAGTATTTGACTGGCGATAGAATTTTAGCATGAAATTTATTTTCTTCAAAATTCTGAAGGTATCCTCTACTGTCTTCCAATTTTCAATGTTACAGTGAGATTCAGAGTCATTTTGATTTCTGATCCTTGAACATGCTACCTGACTCTTTTAGGGAGTGGGGGGAGACAGTTGTTTGTAGGATCTTCTTCGTCCTCAATTCTCTGAAGCTTCACAACAATTGCTAGTTTCATCAACGGTGGGTCCTCTCTATGTGGAAAAGCATGTCTTTCATTTCTGGGAAATTTTCTTTAGTTACCTTTTTGATGATTTTCTCCCCTCTGCTATCTCTTTCTGGAACACCTATTACTTAGATGCTGGACTATGTTTGTTTTCCAATCTTTCTACTTTTTTCTAGTTGACAAGTCTTTATCTTTTTTCTATATTTGCAGGGCATTTTCCCAGATTCACTTTTTTTTTTAATATCAGAATATTCCCCTTTTAGATGAGATATTTTCTTGTGTCACTGAAAATATCAAGAGTAGTCAGTTTTAAGGTTTTGTTTTTAAAACTTCCTTTCCTGCACAAACCATTTCTTACATTCTCCTGTGTGTTAAATCTCTACCTTCCACAGCTCATAGATATGCAGCACCTTGATTTTTGCTCGTGTTCAAAAGTGAAGACTTTAAGAGCTGACTGAAAGGTCTACGCCTGTGTATAACTAAGGGTTGTACTGCAAGACAGTATGATGGGGCCAGCTAGGTAAGGAACCCTTCATTTCAGCATTTTAAAGTGTTTCCTCCTTGGGCTGGAAAGATTCCTTTGAGAAGACTTCCAATCTCCTGCTGGCTGTAAAGGTCTCACTTGCAGAGCAACAGGATCTTAGCACTAAGAATGCCAACCATTACTTAACCTAGTGTGTTTCTTACGGTGCACCCACCTTTGGCTACACTTGGTGTCCTCAGTTCAGATATTCTTCTATTGAGAAGAATAAAGAGGAGCAGTTAAAACTGAATGAAAAGAGTCAGGTATTTAGGAACCTGTTTTTTTTTTCTTTAAACAGAATTTTAACTACTCATTCAGCTTTCATTCCTAAATCCAGAGATAGCTGACACTACCAACTCCTAAGCTTTTTAGAGGTTATGAATTATAAATCATTCCACTTTCCCCACTGCTGGCCTTAGATTCAAATTTCTCAAATCTAATAATTTATTGTTCATTAATCTGATTTCCAGATTCAATATTTTGTTACTATGATATCTGTTTCTATTATACCTGTCCTGAGAGATGCTTTTGAAATGTCCCTTAACTCTCCTTTCAGTGGAGATGTGAATGGAAGAATGTGCATGTATTCTAATTGTTGCCTTACCTAAGAAGTTATCCCTACCAAAGTTAGTATTTAATTTTTATAATGAAAAATTAATCTTACCAACATAATTTATCAATTTCCGGACTCATCTGTGTTTCTTATATCCCACAACTTTCCTCTTACTTTACCTTTCTTGATGAAGAAGTACATTCTTTAATGATCATTTTATTGAAGACCTATGTGTGGCATATTCTCTTAGTCTTCAGAAATCTGAAAATGTCTTCACTCTGCCCTCATTCTTGAATGAGAGCTTGAAAACAAAAGTCTAGGCTGAAGCTCATTTTTGCTAGCATTTTGATGGTATTAATGGTTTTTCTTTTTGTCAATATAAATTACATTGTATTTCCTTTTTAACCACTTTTAAGATCTTCTCTTTAAATCTAATGGTATATAGTTCTACAATGTAATATTTAGTTGTATCTATATTTTTGTTCCCTCTTGGTACTCAAAGTACACAATCACCTAGTTTCAATTCTTGAAAATTATCAATAATTATCTCCATTTTATTTTAATTGGACTTATCAATTTTTATGTATTTTTTATCTGTGTTCTACATCTGGATGCATACTTTACACTATCTATAAATCAAAACTCAGTCTTTAAGTGTAACCAATCTTGAGTTTAGCCTGTCACAATTTTTTTTTTTCAGATCTGAAAATGTCTTTATTTTTTAGAAAATGGATTGCCTGTCACAATTTTTATCTCAGTGACTATCCTCAGGGCAATTAAATCAATGTAGTGGGGAGAGGCAGTAGGAAAGGGGACTCAGAGATGATTCTAAGGTTAGTGCAGATACCAAAACCAGTCAGTAGGGCTCTTAGAATAAAAAAAAAAAAAAAAAAAAAAAAGGAATGACTAATTTCCAGTTAAGATAGTGAATTTGCTTTTGGATACATTCCATTTTAGGAAAATCTAAAAGAGATAGAAATATATTAAAATAATGAGGAAAATTAGAACCAAAAGGACAGCTATCCCAATCATGGGTTTAGTTCCCACTCTTAAAATAAAAATATCACACAAGATGGCACCTGTGACAAGTCATACACATGATAAAATATGCATTTAAAGAGTGAAATGATTATCCTGGATTTCATATTTTCTCTAAAAAATAATAGCTTATAGATATTTCTTGCATTTTCAACTTTTACACAATAGATAATATAGATCACTGTTTCTGTGACTTTGTTCATAATAGCACTCTCTGGAACATCCCTTTGTTCCTTCTTGCTTGCTACAAAATTCAGTCAAAATACCATCTTCTTGCAGGAAGTACCACCTTAGAAGCAGCAGCTCACAGCTCTCTCCTTTCTCCTCTGAATGTCCCTCACATGCCCTTACTTATCAACTGGGTTGCATTACTTTATATTTTTACATTAGAAGCTTTAAGGAAAGGGTTTGGCCTCTAGCAAGATACAACTGTCCTCAGGACAATGACTTGATTTTACCTCCTTTAGCATTGTGACCTGAAATGACAGGCAACTGGTAACAATATCTTATTGATAATTGTAGGTACTAAAACAGTTTTCAGATTTTTAAAAATACTGTGCAGATTATTTACCTCATTCAACTGTAATTGTAAACCATTGACTTTATCCAATAGTATCCTTTGTTCTTGCTGAATTTTTCTTAACCGCTCTTTCAAATCTTCATTTTCAATCTCCAGATCCTTAAAAGAGAAAACAAATAAAAATTTTTATAAAATAAATTTAAAAAGCAGTTTGATATCACAGATATACATATATATAAAACAGCTTTAAGTACAAATGATATAATTTCAATGACAATGTTACTCAAAATCTAAAAATGAGTAATAAAATTACTGTCCAATGATAATAAATATAAGTATATTAAAGAGAGTAACTAATCAATTTGATTTCAACAAATAAAAAATAAAAGCAACACTTGGAAACAGAACATGGCAGAATATGCCACTTTAACTTTTGCTTAAGAATTCCCAAGTTGCTGTGTACAGTGGTGCACACCTGTAATCCTAGGAGTGCAGGAGGATTTCGAGTTCAAAGACAGCCTCAGGAACTTAGCAAGGCCTTAGGAAATACAGTGAGACCCTGTCTCTAAATAAGACTTAAAAAAAAAAAAAAACTGGGAGTGGGGGGTGATGTGACTCAGTGGTTAAACTCCTCTGGGTTCAATCCCTGGAACAACAACAACAAAAAAAAAACTCCAAAGTTTATGAAGAATTCTAATGCTTCTGTTAAACTAATCATTTCACAACTCTGATAAAATATGAAAGATTCCTACTTAAGTCCACAGTCTACTTTCTCAACACTACCTAGAAACCCAAATAAAATGCTTTTATTATATTGAAAGCAGCTATTTAACTTATAATTTAATGATGTTCCAGTAATAAACTAAGTATGAGTTCTTTCCTCAACATAATCCACTTAATAATTACTCTGGAAAACTTTGACCAACATAAAAAGGCACTGTGTAGTTAGTTTAACAAAATTATTTTTCTTCATAAAAATAAAAAATTTTTAAAGTTTAGATTTTATTTTTTTATATTACCATTACTTTTATTACCGCAATTAATTTTACAACATGAACATAAATAGTATGGTTTATAAAAGACACGAAAATCAAAAAGAGTTACATAAAATTGCTAAGTCATTTGATTTTCTAGTGTAATCAAAACAATGTATTCTATACTATACTTCTGTTATATACTTGAGTTACTTAATACAGACTCAAACACTCATAACAAAAGTCAATTTTTGAAGAAGAGTAAGAAAATATCCCAACCACAACAAACTTCCTTTACTTTCCCCATTCATTTCACCTGTGTCTCTGTTCTCACTTCCCCCATCCCACTATATACAACACTGAAATTCTTTTAAAAGTAAGATATTAATTTTTTTCTTTGTACCTGAATGTTTTGATGCTCCCTCTGATTTGACTTTATGTTTATTTCATCTTGCATGTGTGTCAAATTTCGCTTGGGTAAAACATTAAGAAAAGACAAATTAACAAGTATAAGAATATGGAACAGTAATATTTTCCTCAATAGTCAATACACCCAACCAGCGACTTTCAGTTCATTCAACATTAAATTTTACTGTGTATAACACAAGATGGCAGTATTTCCACTTAAAAACCCCTAAATGGAAAGCATCTTTAAGGATAGAGGCTTTAAATAAATCAAAGTATACTTTAAAACACTACCAATTTTTAAAACTTATTAAGGATTTATTTTAGCTAAACTCACAAAATTTAAAAAGGAAAATTTTTTACTAGATACAATATGAATGTTGTGCTTTTATAAAACATCATATACCACTTCATAGAAGAATTTAGTTTTTAAAAAATGGAGGGGAAGGGCTGGGGCTGGGGCTCAGCAGTACAGCATTCGCCTAGCAAGTGCAAGACGCTGGGTTCGATCCTCAGCACCACATAAAAATAAATAAAATAAAGGTATTGTGTCCAACTACAACTAAAAAAAATTTTTTTTTAAATGGAGAGGAAGAGGAAACCACATTAAGTTTGAAATATGGAGATTATTTCCTTTTCTGAGGACTGCTAAAACAAAGTATCAAGATGCGGTGTTAAGAAGAGACACTGACTTGGATATATAAAAGATCTCTAAATAACTCTGTTGGGTATATGTTCCATTTTTTTAACACTTACAGCTTTGGAACTTTATTCCAGTTTAGAGATTTGCTTTAACAAAAACAGAGCACAATGATTAAGCAAGGGAACAAATAACCTCCTTTTTAAAAAATCCAATTGGTCTTTAAATCTGCATAATAACCAATTTAGAAACATCACTCTTAAAGTTAAAAAAAGACTGCTTTAATTCCTCTAGATAATTTTTCATGTTTTATATTACTTGTTTGTTTAATCAATTTATTCAACTACCATTATATTGAGTTCGGATCTAGAATTCGGGGACAGGTCCCTTTAAAAAGATATTCTGTAGCCACAATTTCCAAAATATGTTTCTAGTTTCATTCATCCTACTAGAGGACTGTTCCTCAAGAGGCATTTGACATTTATTAACAGCTCACTTCATCCTATCACTCTTATTTTTTTATTGTTTTTGAGACACGGGTCACTGTGTTGCCCAGACCAATCTCAGATTCTCGAAATCACTGTGTTGCCCAGACTCAGTCAATCCTCCTGCCTGGGACTACAGGTGTCCACTATGGCTCCCGGCTCATCATAAAGCCCTCATTCCCAGCCTTCCTCTCAGAATCCTCACCTATTTCCTCCACTCCTTAACCCACCCCGCTCAGACAAACTAAGTCAACTCCACCCACGAAGACCCAGCTTCCTGACAAGGCCTTCTTAGCAACAAGAAGAGAAAGTTCCTTGCACTTCCAGCTCCAAGAGGCAGTGACCCAGGCACAACTAATGGCTGATATAAGCCTTCCGCAAGCTGTTGGTCTTCAGAAGACATACTTGAAGTCTTTACCACCCCAAGTTCTTGTTAACACAGCACCTGGTTATTTTACCACTCTCTCCTTCTGCCCCCTCCATCTTGTACACAGCACTTCTGCCAACCTGAGCTTCTACTGTCCCACAGGTGGGTGAAACACACTCCCTCATCAAGGGTTGGAACTTGCCTCCCCCTCAGCCTGTGAACTTCTCTGGAGCCCCCACTCTCTCCATCTTCATCCTTTAATACTGTTTCCTTCGTAGCATCTGCTCTGATGCAATTAGTCATTTTTTTATTGTTTTTCTCTCTCAATAACCTGGTAGCTGCATGAGGGCAACAACTTGGCACCTGGCAATATCCTGACACTTAGAACAGTGACTGGCACACTGTAGGTGTTTGTTGAACAAACAACTAAGTCTTCCTTTTACAACTATATTACAGGTTTCTTGATAATAGGGACTGCATGGCTTGTACAAAAACAGATCCTATTTATAGTAGATAGTCTATAAGGATATTCAATAAATACTGGAAACAGGAATTAGGAGTCATTACTCTTACTGCTCCTAGTAGAAAATTAACTCCTTGTATTCACTCAGAAATCCTTATAGTACTGAGCAGAGTACTATTCCCATGTAAATATTCAATAATTCTTTATTTTAAATATCTGTACATTTCAGAACTCATTTTTCTCTTCTGTGGGATGGCTGGTATAAACACAAGAGAATACTTTTTATCTCACTCGACTCCTACTTAAATTATCTGAGAAACAGGGAGAAGGTTGATGAAAAAGAAAGTATCAACAGACATGACCCATGTATGAACATGTTACTTCATTCTGATGGATTGAAAAGGAGAACAAGCTTTAATACAGCTTTCAGATTGAGGTGAGAGGTAGAGATAATGGTGCAGAATGATGAATAGAATTGCTCAGAAGGTACCTGATTACTTTTTCTTCAGGGTTTGGAAGTGCCCAGGTTCCTCTCACTAGAGAAAAGCTGAAAGCCTGGAAGGGAACAGCCAGCAGAAGAGGAAAGCTGCCTACACTAGCTCTGCAGCCAGAGTGCTGTCAACCACCCCACTTCAACTCAAAAAGATGAGAGGAAAACACAAGACATTTACTCAAACCAGGACATAAAACCAGGGTTAAACTGTGATTTGTTAAGTGGTTAGTATAAAGTATGAATTGTTCCATGTGCTATTTTTTAAAGTCCTCAATTGAGTATACATAGAAAAAAGACTTTTAGAAATAGAAAATACTCTATATTAACAGTGATATTGAAATCACAATAGATAATCAGTTCTTAACTGTTTTCTTCAGTTCTTACTGCACTAAAAGAATTTTCCCAAATCAGTACAGATTGGCTCTGTTGTTGAGAGAAGATAGGCGGAAATTGCCTATGATCTGCCAGGCTAAAATTCATCATTAAATAATTTCAGTGAGGTGTGATATCACCACATACATGAAACCAAATGACCCAACCAGGAGGCTATTTTTTCCCCACTGGATACACTCATTGTGATTACGATCCATTACCAGGCTAAGTGATATTATCTTAATATAATAGGATCTTATGACCTTAATACTACATTCTACATGGGCATGATAAACTAGGGAGATAGAAAGCATGCACTTAAATTCACAATGAGTTGTGTATAATCATTGACCAGCTTTATTAAGTACTTTACTTAAATTGCACAATACCTACAATTTTTAAAAATTAAAATTAAGATCTACCTGTTGCAGAGATGGTCCTTTCTTCCAAAGTTCTCTCCCTAAAGATTTAAAGAGAGAAAAACAGTGAAACAACAGAGTATTATGGGTACATATGCATTCCTTAACTATACCACTCAGTCAATATTAACTAAATAAATCTTAAAGTTTCCTCTACAGCTTACTACTTTTTAGTTTTAATTCTTAAATTCATGCTTAAAACAACAATAAAATAACATTTTTGCTAACCAAATTAACAAAGGTTTTTTTATATGACAATATTTAGATAACTGAAACATCAACTTGTTAAACTATCTCGAAAGCCATAATGTACATATCCTAAAGCCTAGTGATTCAATTTCTAGGAACTGATCTCAAGGGAATAATAAATAAACATATGCCCAAAACACATAAGGACAAACCAGTGAAAAAACAGATATAACTTAGATACCACCAACAGAAAATTGTCTTAATTAATTGCCTTAATTTAAGTAAATGGAATCCTATGCATTAATAAAAATTATACTAAAAATATGAGGAAAAAATAGAAAAAAGAAAAAGTCTTCAAAATATGTTACATAAAAAAGTAAGCTACAACTCAGTGTTATAGGTGACCTCAATTTTATAGATAAGGAAAAGACTGGACAGCTATGCTTCAAAATATCTACAGAGGCTTCTCAGTGGCAGGATGAGTGTCTAACTTTATTCACTGTGCTCTTCTGCATTTTCCAATTTTTCTTTCATAAATAGAAAAACACTTGGTATAGGCATTTGATATATATAACATTTGAATACTTTATATACATATGTTAAAATGTTTTTTTTCTTTAAAATTTCCTGAGTATAAAGTTAGGAGCTTCACTCCTTATCAAAAATATTAATATATGCAGTTTTTATGTGTCAATTAAAAAATATTAGTAAAACCCTTGAGTTGACTCTTCCTCTCAGTTCTTAAATTAGTCCACAGTATATCAGGATTTATTTGATAAACTGCACAATAAATGTGACAGACACTGTCCCAAAACAAAGGGGTATGATGTAAGTAAGCAAATCTATGGTACAAAGGGAGGGAAACCAACACTTTATTAAAACTTTATTATTTATTATCTAAGTCTTTAAAAAGCTGCTCTTTCTTAACCTGGACTTTTCTAGTCATAGACAACTGCTAATACCTTTGCTGGTGTTTTCTGATGCGGTCTTCAGTAAGGTTAGAATGTCCAGATTGTCACCAATTCTTGCGTAGTAAGAACTATCATGGCCAAGGGCGTCCAGTAAGCTTACATCAGCACCATTTTTAATTAAGATTTCTACTGCATCTCTGCAACCATACTCACAACCCAGCATGAGAGCCGTTCTAAAAGGAAAGGGGAAGAATAAAAGACCTTGAGGAAAATTCAAGGAAATGTTTCAAAAATATTCAGCTAGAGGCCTCCTTAAAACATCAGTAGTACTTTAAAGAGATTATACTCATTACAGATACAGATTTTACCTTATCTGTTTATCTTACATTTTTATTTCATCACATTTATAAAAAAACATTTACTTTATGTTTGCAGAGCTTAAACCTTATGCTCTCTTATATACTTTAATTACTTGTCAAACTAAACTTGTTTATTCCAGTTAATCAAATGTGGTATAAATAATTACCATAAAAAATTTTCTACAACTAATATTGTCACCCCCTCTGCTCAAACCTTAACTCAGTCTTTTCATAAACTGAACCACATCACACAAACTTCCCCGAGAAATCATTTATCCTCCAAGGGAGGGCTTTCTATCTTTAAGCTTCATTTAAAACTTGTCTCATTAAATGAACTTTCCTCAACTACTCACACATTAACATAGACCATTCCTTTATTCTGCATGAGAAAGCCATCAGCACTTAAACATTTCACATATGTCAGCAAATAATCATCATGAAATAATACAATTAACTTGTCATGGAAATTTAGAAGGACCCTAAAAATTATTTTGTCAAATTGTTTTTACAAATAGAAGAAGACCTTAGAAGATGGAAAAATATACCCTGTTCATGGATAGG